GTTCTGTGGAGCTGTGACGTGCTCTGCTCGACATAAACCTAAATGCGAATTTATGTAGGGGGAAAAAAAAAACCCAACACACCAAGAGATTGACAGCTACTTTGCTGTGCAAAATGTTAATCTTCGCCAAGAAGATTTAACAGGACCAGGCAAAGCCCTGGGCAAAAGCCTGTCGGGAACAAGGGTGATGCCTGGAGGATGGCTGCACCCCTGGGACCCCGCTGTGCCCCGATTTCCTCATTAGCGACCTCCCAAGGGCAAGGGCAACCTCTTTTTAGCCCACCCATCACCTCAGCAGCCTCAAATCCCATTTCACACCCTGTGCCTGGCTCTCCGAGACATCCATCGAGAAAAATAAACCTGGAAAGCGCCAGGAAAAGCAGCGCCAAACGCAAGCGCCGCACCAAGCGACGTGGCTGGGTGCACGGGGGCGATTTAATCCTGGATTAAATGACGCTGTGAACCCCCTCCCGCTTTTTCGGGAAGCCCGAGGGCAACTCACTGGTCCTGCTGGCGTTGTCGTTGCCGCTCTCGTAGCAGCCTTGGCCGCCGTCGTCGGTGTCGGAGCGGTCCTGGCGTTCGTAGTGCCGCTCGCTCTCGCTCATCCTGTCCCGGCTGGAGGCAGATCTTCGCCGACGCCGTTTCCTCCGATAGCCCCGGGGCACCGGCACCCCAATGTAGATGGAGTGGTAATCTAGAGGGAAGGAAAATAAAAAGCTTTAGGGAGCAAGATCTGGGTGGTTTTCACTTGCAAAAAAAGAAAAAAAAAAATTAAAAAAAAGCCAGGGAGATATTTGCCTTCTTCCCACCAGGCTTAAAGCACCCACGGGAGCTTTTCCCACACCGTGCGTGGGATGTGCTGAGCTGAGCACCGGGAGATCTGATGGATCAGCTGGCAGGGAAGTCCCCAGTGCCATTTGGGGCATCCCTGAGGTTTCACTCACCTTCCTCATCGTCATATCTCCTCCTTGAGCTGCTGAGCCCCCTCTCGCTCATCCCATCCTCATCCTCCAGCATGGTCCTGCCGCTTGGAGAGAGCTGAGCCGTGGGGAGGAGAAAGGAGAGAGATTTTAAAGGGTGCTGGGCAGGGGAACAGCCTCTTTGCACACCCAGCGGGTGCTCCCTGCTACGGGAATCCTTCACGTGTGGCCCCAGAAAAATCACAGGGTCCTTTCCGGATGGGGCGAGGATGCACTGGGGAGCGGGGACCTCCCCTATGGATGCACTGGGGACCCTCCAGCACCTCCTGCAAGCGCCCGCGTCTCGCCTCGGTGAGCTCTCAGCCCTGCCTCGCTCCACGCCAGCCCTGCCCGCGTTCCACGTCTGCTCTCCCCATATTTCAAAAAATCTGGATAAATTTCTCTGGGGTTACGTCTCTGGTCTCTTATTTCTGCCGCTCAAAGGAAGGCGTAAGCGAAGTGTAAGAGGTTATTACAGAGATCTGCCGGTACGACCACCGACACAAGTTTAGTTAGCAGCTGTTGCAATGGGGTTGCTTGCTGGCAATAAGCACCCCTTTAATATTCGGGGGGAACCTGGACAGATAAAAGGGGGTTTGTAGAAGCAGAGTTCAGTTTTCCCCCATCTCCTGAGCACAGATTTTACACCATACATGCATTGCCGCTTCCAAATATCTTCCTTCAAACCTGCTGTTTTATTGCCCATACGAGTTTCTTTGAATTTTGCCACAGATGCCAATTAATCTCCTAATTATCTGACCTCCAGTGATTGCCTTTCACACTTGACTTGGATGGGAGAACAGTTACTATTCATGGCAGCCCGGTCGATGCCTCCCAAAGTCACTTTGAGAGCCATCGGAGAGCCAGCCTCTCCGTGTCCCCTGTTGCGGCTGCTTGCATCCATGGCTATATCATAACATTATCCATCTATTTCAGGGAAGAAAAATCTCAATTCAAACCAAAGAGATTAAAAATATCAAGCGAACGGGGTGTACACCAAAATATCTGGAAGGGTCCAGGGCTGGCCAGGTTGGCCCTGCTTAGGTTGCCAAATTACTGACCCGTTGTCCCCCAAAGCAAAGACTGACACGGGCTCCAGCCTTATCCCAGTTGCTATTTGAAGCAACTCTTGATTTGGGATTTTCTTTTTTGACCTCATTAACCAAAACTTTTTTGCACAGGTGCAGGAACCAATTTATTTTAAGGGCAAACACCTCTGGATGGACAACCGTGCCCCAAACCTGGGTGTATTAAGGGATAACATCAGCCACAAGCCTTGGCTTCCCAGGAATAATGTTACAGGGCTAATTCTGAGGATTTTAGGAAGCTGGTGCTGGCAAGAGAAACAGCAAAACACCCACCAGGCTGCAGGCATAAATATTTTTGTGCTAAAAATGAGCCAGTACCTTCCAACAGATGAATGGTCGCCCCCCCCCCCCCATTTCCTCATGAGCTTCAGCACGAGGTTGGGTTCCCCAGATGATAGATAAGGACACAGAATCTTTCAGCTGGGGCTGTTTTGGTAAGAGATAGGACTGGTTTTTTGCAATCTAGCTCGGCTGGCGAGAGCTCTACCACAGGTCTGTTGGGCAGCAAAAAGAACCTGTCTGATAAACCCACGCTTCGTTAGATCCACTGATAAATGAAAGAACTTGATTGATTACAGCTGATTTATGAGAGTTATATAGCCTAGGATTTATGCCTCTCATTTTTTACGTATAAAGCTTTTCCCCCCCTGGATCCTTGCGTACAAACACAAGCACGACGCAGAATGGAACGGTTGGAAAATGACCGGAAGCGCTCTAGAAATAAGGGGAGGAAAAGAAGAGCGACGCTACCTTTGCCCATTAAACCCCATGACCCCCACCAGCTCTCAGTTCCAAAACCAAGTTTTTCCCTTAATAAACTCACCTGGAGCTCCCCAAAAATGCTCGGAAATCAGAAGACGGGGCTGTGGAGTAAAATCACGGGCACTGGTGGGTGCAGGAGCCCAGACTGCCTTGAGATAAAGCTGCTCTTGCAACCATCGTATTGACGTCTACTGCCAAACGCTCTGTAGCTCCCAGGTTAAAATGTATTTTGGGCAACGCTGATTGACTTTGGGAGCAGAAAGGCATCACGGGATGCAAACAGACCTCTGGAGAGGATGGGACGTTCAAGCCAGCAAAGACCTGGTCTTGCGCAGTGATGGGGTCTAGATATCAGACCATCAGGATGTAGGAAAATTCAGGTTGTCCATCCCCAGCTTGCCGAATCTGCATCTTCTGGGGTTGTTGGGGTGGGTTTTTGCAGCAGTTTTGGCTCGATTGCCAGGGATTTGGGAGGGCAACTGCTTTCTTTTTTTGCTCTGTGCAATGTCATGCACATCTGATCTTAAGGAACGGAAGGAAACTCTTCCAGGAGGTGCAGAGAAACGTCGCCACCAGTGAGAAAGATCCTAAACCCCTTGGGGTCCATAGGATCAGCCCCTGGGCCATCAAATACAGTTTGTTTAGGGTTGGGGTTTTTTTTTTATGAGGGCTGCACACCGAATTATTTTGTAATTTCCATGTTTTGCTTTTAACGTGTTGAAGATCTGTAAAATTTGATTTCATGAAAGCCAAGCTCTCGGTCACACGAGCATGCCCGCTTTGCTTCCCGAGCTGTCCGCTTCTATTTAACGCCTGGCTTGCTCACCTCTGCTTAGCCTTTTAAACGGGGGGATCGATAAATCCACAACAAAGCAGCGCCTGGCACTTCGTCACGGCCAGCCTTGTCGTTCAGCAAAAAAAAAATAAAACAAACCCCGAGGAACGGGAAATCAGGCTTTGTGCTTTAAGGTCATCTGATAACGGGGCTTTTCTCTCTGGGGAGATTATCCGACGGCACGATCCGGAGTATAAAAAGCAAAGCAAAACCTGTTTGATACTTTATCCCGGCTCCCATTTTCTTCCCAGCTCGTGTTTTCCTTAGAGTTGCTCTTCCATGTGTAGCAGGGTCAGGGCTGGAGCAAGGCAGCAGCGATTTCAAGATGCAAAATTTAGGGTGAATTAGGGAATATTCTTGGCATCCCCTTTATTTAGAGTCATAAGGCACATTTGGAAGCGGGGAGAAAAGCTTTTATGAAGCACCCTTATGATTTCATGCTCAAATCTACCTTTCCCATTTTTTTCCAGGCATTTGCAGACCAATGGTCCGTGGGAACAGGGGAGCTGGGTGCCCAAATTGAGGCATGAATCGACCTTCTCCCCACCTCCCATCGCTCACCGCCTGCCAAAAAAAAACAAACCAGCATTAGTCCAGGTGGGAAAACCCACTTGCATCCGACCCCTTCAATGCTGCCTGCACCAAGGTCCAGTGCCAGCGGGCTCTGCCCAGCCAGAAAAATGGTGTAAAGGCGTTGGTGGCTGTTTGTCCTGTAATAAAGAGGAGAAAAATAATGGCAATGAACTTTCCTTCCCCAGGTACGTGGAACTACAATGCGCAGGTCGCATGTATCAGCTTGTATTTCTTATGGTTTTACTAAACACCTCCTGGCAAGAAGGGGAAAAAGGAGGAAAAGCAAAATCCCCAGAGCCCGCGAGCCGTTCGGGTGATGGCAGCTGCCCTGTTATTCCTTAAATGACCATTTCATTTCCCTGGGCTGCAGGTTTGACCTTCTCCACTTGCAAAAAAACCAGACAACCGCAAACCCAACCCAATTTTGGCCACACCATTTAAAAAAAAATTCCATAACCCCACTGCTTGGCTCTTGGGGCTCCCAGCTCCGTTTTCAATGTGATTTGCGGGGGGTAAAAAAGGTTCATGAAGGGTTTTTTTTTTTTTCAGGCCTGTGCTGGGGATTGCTTCTGGTTTAGTTAAAAAATAAAGCTTGGAAACAGTCAGAAGAGGGAGACAGAGCCCGGCAGTCACACACCAGCTCTCACCCACTTTTCCCTGCTTGGGCATCCAAATAAACCAAGTCAGCCTCCAGCCCCCGAAATACCCTTATTAATAAAAACCACCGCTTATAAGCCCAGCGTTTCCTTCGTTGCGCGGTGCTCCACACCCATCGCTCTTTTG